AACTTGTAGATACAAGGGGGCTGCAAAAACTTAGTGGAAAAATTCTATTATCTTTTAATTCCATTTTTCCATGAACATTTTGAATCCCTGTCTTTCACACACATATGAACAGACCCACAAGACTAAGTCAAAAACCAATGCTACTAAATCATAGAAACCTTTATTAAAATTATCAAAATGCAAAGCCATTGTTTCTCAACAAATCCCCCAGCTAGGTTTATATATTTCTTAAGGTGGCGTCCCATCTCTCTAACCCTTCTCTGAATAACTTAGTTATCTTTGATTTGTACTATGTCCAAATGATATTTTTGAGGGGTTCAAATTGTGTTCCTTTTCAGTCTTCATTGAGTTTTTGGAACAAAGAGAAGTTTGAAGAGGCAAGTTCAGGGCTATAGGGTGGATGGATTAAGCATTCCCAACAAAATTTTTATAACAAAGGTCTTTGCTACCCTCAAAGAATTGGTAGGTACACGGTCGTAACAGAAATAACTTCAGTGGAACTTTACTGGCCTTTTTCTTACCAATGCATTTTTCAATTTTGTTTAAAATTTCTCCATAATAAGCCTCTGTGATCATCCTGTGTCCTTTGAGAAAATTTATCACAATTATCTATTTGGGATCCACAAAAGACAGTCACCATAACCTTCTGAGCTGGCCTCTCTGTCTTGAACTGAACTAAACAGATAACCTTTTCAGAAGATGCTGTTTTGATTGGACCTTAACACGTTATGGAGACTATGACAAGTGTATTACTGAAGAGAACTGGTCTGCAGCCACCTACTGACTGCAGAGACATGCTTAAACACGATTTTTTGTGTTTCTTCCTTTTTTTTTTTTTTTAAAAAAATAAACCTATGTACATATAAAATGGAGCCCAAGTAACAACAGTTTTTGACTTACCCTTATGTGTGTGAACATACACACAAGTATAGATGTAATTGCAATTATATTTGTACCAATATCTATTTCAAGGAACTATGGTATGATTGCCCACTCTGGGTACATTATTCTTTTTCAATCTTTGCCAACTGAATAGGTAAGAACAGTATCTAATATGTGTTTTATTTTGCATTTATATTATCTGTAGGATTCCATTTTGAAAACATCTTCTTTAGTAATTACTATTTCTTATTTTGTTAGTTGCTGCCTTTTCTTTAACACAATCTATTGGTGTTATTGTTGTTATGTGCCATTGAGTTGGTATCTATTGATAGTGACACTATGCACAACAGAAGAAAACATTGGCCGGTCCTGGGCCAACTTCACAATAGTTGCTACTCCTGAGCCTATCGCTGCTGCCACTGTGCCAATCATTCTCCTTGGGGGTTTTCCTCTTTTTCTCTGCCCCTCCACTTTACAAAACATGGATAGCCTTCTCCAGTGACTGGTCCTTCCTGATATATGATATGTCCAAAGTATAAGAGATGAAGTCTGGCCATCCTGGCTTCCAAGTAGCACTCTGGCTGCATTTCTTCCAACAGATCTGTTTGCTCTTTTGGCAGTCCATGGTACTTTCAATCTTCTCCTCCAACACCATAACTCAAATACATCAATTCTTCTATGGTCTTCCTCATTGACTGTCCAACTTCCGCATACATATGAGGTTACTGAAAATACCATGGCTTGTGTCAGGTGCACCTTAGTCTTCAAACTGAAAGATTTGCTCTTCATCACTTAAAAATGGTCTTGTGCAGCAGAATTGCCTAATGTAACACATTGTTTGATTTCTTGACTGTTACTTCCATGAATGTTGATGGTTGATCTGAGCAAAATGAAGTCTTTGATAACTTCAATCTTTTATTCCATTTATATGGCTCTTACTTATTGGTCCAGTTGTGAGGATGTTTGTTTTTTTACATTGAGGTGCAATCCATACCAAAGGCTGTGGTCTTTGCTCTTCGTCAACAAGTATTTTAAGTCCTCTTGGCTTTCAGCAAGCAAGGTTGTATCGTCTGTATATCTCAGTTTGTTAATGAGTCTTCCTCCAATTCTGATGCTTTGTTTTTCTTCATATAATCCAGGTTGAATAACTATGGTGAAAGAATACAACCCTGGCACACATCTTCCCTAATTTTAAACCATTTGGTGTTCCCTTGTTCTGTTTGACCAACTGTCTCTTTGTTTATGTACAGGTTCCTCATAAGCACAATTAATTGTTCTGGAATACTCATACTTCACAATGTTGTCCATAGCTTGTCATGATTCACACAATCAAAAGTCGTTGCATAGTCAATAAAGCACAGGTCAACATCTTTCTGGTATTCTCTGCTTTCAGCTAAGATCTTTCTTACCTCAGCAATGGTATCCCTAGTTCCATGTCCTCTTCTGAAACTGGCTTGGACCTCTGGAAGTTCTCTGTCAATGTATGCATTATCTTTAGTAAAACTTTATTCCCATAGGAGATCGATGATACTGTCTGATAATTTCTGCATTCCATTGGGTCACTTCTCTTTGGGATGAGTACAAATGTGGATCTCTTCCAGTCAGTTGGCCAGGTAGTTGTCCTACAAATTTCTTGGCATAGATGAGTGAGTGCCTCCAATGCCGCACTAGTTTTTTGAAAGATTTCAATTGATATTCCATCAATTCCTAGTTCCTTGTTTTTTTGCCAATGCCTTTAATGCACCTTGGACTTCTTCCTTCAGTGTCATTGGCTCTTGATCATATTAGTAGTTTTATAATTTTCCAAGTAATTAAAAAAATTTCTCCATCTCTGAAAGCTACTGAACTCATTGCTTATCTTATAACTATTTCTACCTAAATTAGTTGTTTACAGTTTTACTTGATTTATAACTTTTTTGTAATAAGAGCAATTTTAAAAATGATAGTCATATCCAATTAAAATTTTATTTTATGGTTTATGTCTTTGTTATCATACATCACTCTTTATAATTTACAATCACTTTTATTTTCTATGATTTTTATATTTTTAATTTTTACATTTTTATCTATTATAAATTTATGAGGCCAGAAAATAAATTCTTACTATAACTTGTTCAGAACTCACATACAAATATTGAACATCAATGTGATAATAAAAAATGGGTTTACTTGCTCCAAAGTACAGTTTTATTTGAAATTTGGGATGAGTTCTTATGGGGGAAAAAATTCCAAGAAGTACTTTTCATTCCAAAATATTATGGTATCAATACCAAATGACATAAAAATCTGGCTATTCTTCAGAGCTAACACTATTATTTCCTTTTTGGTCACTAATTGTGTTCACTGCATATGCTTGTCTTCTCAGCTGGACTACAAACATTAAAAGGCATTAGGGAACGAACTTCTTCTACCCAAGACAGAGCTCTATGAGAAACTGGCCATAAGACAGTCATCTCTGAATGTACAGTTTATTTACCACAGTGTTTAGCATATCACAGGCACATGACAACTTAGTGAATTCTGTGTTAGACATATACTAATGTCTTACCAAAATGACCAAAGTGGTAAATGGTTAAAAGTATTTTCAGAGCCATAATCCAGCTGTAACATCTGATTCAATGAACAGAGGTTCAGAAAATAAGAAAAAAGAATAGTAAATCAGGTTGTAGTCTTCTAATGAATGGGCCTACACTGTGAGTGGTTATGAAACTGGCAAGGAAGGGTCAAATCAAGAAAATATGATAAGGCAGGGAGAGCTAACTGATTAAAGCTCCAATGACAGAAAACAGGAAGGTGAGAACAATCAGGGCAGGGTGGGATAGAGACAGGAGATAATGGCTTTGGTATCAGACACACTGAATTTTTAATATCAGAGTTGTTGTTGTTGTTAAGTGCCATCAAGTCGGTTCTGACTCATGGTGATCCTGTATAGGATTTCCGAGGAGTGACTGGTGTGTTTGAACTGTCAATCTTGTGTTTTGCAGTCCAGCACTGATCCTACAGCATCACACCAGGGGTCCTATCAGTAGGGCATTTAGAGTTGTGTGGTTGACTGTCAATGATACAGGGCGGGACATATAGGTAAGAGGCCAATGAAAGCAAGAGAGGGAAGCAATATTTACACATACGTACCTACATGGGCAAGGAGCTCTGGTAGCGTAGTGGTTCCGAATCGGGCTGCGAGCTGCAAGGTCAGCAGTTAGAAACTACCAACTGTTCCGCAGGAGAAAGATGAGGCTTTCTGCTCCCGTAAAGATTTATAGCCTCGGAAACCCTGTACAGGGTCACTGTGTGTCGGAACCAACTCAACGGCACTTAACAACAACAATAACAACCTACATGGGCAGTTTGAGACCACCCAGAGGTGCCTCAAAAGAAAGATCTGGCAATCTATTTCCAAAAAATCAGCCATTGAAGACTAAGGAACACACAGCTCAACTCTGACACACACCGGGTTCCTATGCGTTAGAGCTGCCTCCATGGTAACTGGTCTACCACTGTATGACACTGCACTAAGTCTTTTGCTCATAGAATTGGAATTTAAATTGCAGAGTCATCGGTATACTAGCATTAGGAGAAAGAATCACCCAGAGATTGATTTGGTCCTAGCTCCATCATTTCTAGCTTTATAAACCTTAAGGGTAGTTTATTTATGTTCACTGTAAATCTGAGTTCCCTTATCCCAGAAATGAGGCAATAAAAATGCCTACCTCAAAGAGATGGGAGAAATTATATAGTCTGTAAATAGTACATAGCATGGTGTAGAAATTTTTAATAAAGAGTCAAAATTAGTGGATAAAATAGAAAATTTAAACACTGGTTTAGGGAGTGTTGTACACAGAAGAAAGATGTTGTTGTTAAGTGTTTCTGAGTCAGTTCCAATCCATAGCGACCCTGTATAAGGTTTCTGAGCTTAAACTGCTGACCTTGCAGTTCAAACAACAGAGATCTCAAAAAGATAGATAATCAGGGAAATGGGAGAAAACTTTAAAAACACAACACTACAAAAATCATGAGGGCTAGATATTTCAAAGAAGTAAGTGTTTAATCAGACTCAACAATAAGGACCCGTGCAAAGTCTTCATGTAAGTAAAGTAAATGTCCACACTGCTACATACCCAGAGCTGGTCATCCATGCCTGGAGGGTTCTTTTTGATAAAAGCACCATAGTATGTAGCAATATTTCGGTGATGAGAATACTTCTTCAACATGTTAATTTCTTGCTTGATTTCTTCCTCTTCATCCTGCATTGAAACAATAAATATTTTCCCATTAAAATCCATTATCTTTAGTAGGATTCTATTTTTCATCACTGTCTCTAAGAACTAAGGAATAAGTTCCTTTTAAGGTTTTTCCTTCCATGGTGATAAATCAGCATAATTTTTATATATGACTATAAAGAGAAGAAATCCTGTTATGGCACTGTAGGATAAGCACTGGATTGCTAACTGCAAGATCAGCAGTTCACACCCACCAACCATTCCTCAGGAAACCTATACAAGGTCGCTGAGTTGGAACCAACTTGACTGCATTGAACAACAATAAAGAGAATGTTTACAAAACAATACACTGAAAGTCCAAAGGGGTGTTCTGTTTATACAGAAAACATATATGGCATTCGACCTGCAGGAAACATAGCACCTCATCCCTCATGTGGATGAGAACAAGGTACTGAGACAACATTCACTCCGTGCCTTTGGGAATGATGTCCACCGAAACCCACACCTATGGCCACCAACTCTTAGCAATCTGACAGAGCAAAGTAAAACAGTCCCACAGGGTTTCCTAGGCTGTAACCTTTACAGAAGTAGACTGCCACATCCTTCTCTTACAGAGAGGTTGGATTAGAACTGACCACCTTTCAGCTAGCAGCCAGGTACTTAACCACTGCGTTAGCACGGCTCTTTAGGAAACAATGTCCATCGAGAGCTGATCACTAATTTTATCTGATACACGATAGACTGAGAAAAGTGAAAAGAAAAAAAAAGAGAGGCTGTTAGATTTATAATATGTTAGGCTCACTTTCTTTGAAACCTGTCATAGTTAAAGTGAATTGAGTTGGTTCTGATCTGTAGCAACCCCATGTGATAGAGCAAAACTCCCCCATAGAGTTTTCTTGGCTGCAGTCTTCATGGAGACAGAATGCCAGATCTTTCTTCCACAGAACCATTAGGTGGGTTCAAACTATCAACCTTCCGGTTAACAACCCAGCACTAAGCCACGGAGCCACCAAGATTCCTTTCAAGCCTACTTTTATTGAAGTACTTGATTGAAGAGGATTAAAGTCAGATGGGAAAGCTCGGAGGAAGTTCACAAAGCAAGAGTATCCACCGTACCTTCAGGAAACTACAAACATGAAAGGGGGACATGACGGGGTGACATAGAACTCTCCAATAGAGTGTTGCATTCTTTGTGAGTTTCAATTTGGAAACCACCAAGACAGGCATTTTAGAGCTCCCCATTGTGGCGAGTGTAATTTTAAAAATGATTTTAATTTCTTGCTTTTAAAAAATAAATAAAGAAATAAAGAAAAATCCACCAAGTACAGGGAGTCTCCATATATACACCTCCTCCAACCCTCTGTACATGATTTTTCCTATTACCATCTTGCCTTCCTGTGGTATACCTGTTACAGATGATGAACTGATAAGGATATATGACTGTTAACTAACAGTTTACATTAGGACTCGAGTTTTGTGTTGCACAGTCCTATGAAGCATGACAACTGCTTCATGGCATGTGCCGCCATTACAGTAGCAGACAAAATCGTTTCACTGCCCTGAAAACGCTCTACACTCCATCCAGCCCACACTTTTGATTCTAATGGCTACAAAAAAACAGCATTTCATTTTTTAAGTTAGTGGATTATGTTTCTATTCCAGGATCATTGTTTAAGATACAGCAGTAACAATGGCCATACTTGAGTGTAAGAAGCTACATTATCATGGTTTGGAAGAACCCACAGTCCCTCTCGGCATTCCCGGCCCCCTCTATCCATCTTCAAAAGCTGCCTTCCCGTGTCCCCACATTCTGGGCCCTTCTGTAACCTCTGTCCTCATTCTCTTCTTCACATAATTTCTACTGATCGTTTGTGACTGAGTTTAAAAGACACTGCTCAGGGATGTCTTCCCTAACCCTTCAGGCAATGCAAGTCCTCAATATATCCTGTCATAGCCCCTACACATTCTCACCACATATGTTGGTACAGTATGAAGGTGTCTCTCTTCTCCATGGGTTGGAAGCTCTCCTCTGCCTTCAGATCTCAGTTCTAGAGCCCCTTCCCCAGAGAAGCCTCCCTCTTCAATCTGGCTTGGTGCTAGACCCTGCTTATCTTCTATGGCTCTTCCTTTGTCAAACCTATCAGGATTGAAATCCACATTTGACTGATGATTGGATTAAAGTCTTTATTCCCTTGCAGTTCATAACAGCCATAAACACAGAAGTCCTGCGTGCTTTTGTTCTCTATTATATCCACAGCACCAAGTAAACTGCTTGTGAATAGACTGAATAAAAGAAAGAATACCTGCAAAGGGCCGAGCCACTTAGAGCAGCAGGATGATGCTTACAAGAAACCGTTAAAAATAGGATGAGGAGAGCGATAAAATGCTGACATGTGCTGATCACACAGAACTGAGTCTTAGTAAAAATAATAATAATAAAAATGGAGATTTGAAAACCTAGGGGAACTAAAGCATGTTACACACACATCACATGGCTTAACTATGTCAAAAACCAGGTAACCACCTCAAAACAGCATTGATGATTGGGATGCTGAGCTAAGGGGAAGCACGTGGTCCTAACAACAAGGAGGGGAATGGAGTGGTTGAGGGGCTGAGATGATGACTGAAGAGATGGTGGCATACAGCAGACCACAGCCCTTTTCCCGGCAGCTTTCAGAAACTGCCCACACCTTTCCCATAAGCCTTTGAAGAGACAGATCTTCACTAAACTGCAATTGCCAGGTTCCCATTTGTTGAGGGGTCTCTGCAGTGTACTCAGGCATCTTACTATGGTGCATATTGCTATTTTAAACACACCACATGAGGCCAAATAATTCTGGATGGATGTAGGAAGTGAGCTAATGTACTTTGAAGAAGCCTGCTTAGAAGGGGGGAAAACAAACCTCGGGGTTTCTATGAGCAGGAGGGCACTGACAGCTGCTTAGATTAAAGAGGCAGACATGTGAGGTGGTAAAGGACACTCAGCATTCTCCAAATGCAGCCTGCCAGCCTCCACTTCAGTCCTTCTCACTGGGAATTCAGACTGCTTCCACAAGCTCTGACTGCCTGCCTGTCATCAAGAGGATGTGGGAGAACTAGAGAGGGGGAAAAACTGCCTGAAAAAAACTTACCATATCATTAAGAAAATAACTTATGAAACAGATAAATAGCAGTGTAATTTAGCATATAATTAAATCCAACATAAATAGTATTAGAAGTCAGCACATTTTCCATCATACTGCAAACGTAAACTGAGGCAACATGGTGATAAGGAAATTGTATGCCCGGAGTTTAGGAATAAAGGATAAAGGTAGGCAGGTGGGACACATGCTGAGTTTGGGCTCCACCCCTCTTGGGCAAATAACATACCTTTTGGTAGCCTAGGTTTTCTCATCTAAAATAAGATACAGATATTATACTTGTTGTTAAGTGCTGCTGAGTTGATTCCAACCCCTTTATAGTTTCTGAGGAGCAGCTGGTGAGCTTGAACTGCCAACTCTGAAGTTTAAAGTGACTTTGCAGTCCAGCACATTAATCCACAGCACCGTAACAGGCCCCAGAGATTATAGTACTAGGATTAAATGTCCCAGATTTTAGTAATAATTGAATGAGGAGTGTGTGTGTTATAAAATATAATAAAAATAAACATGATTGTTAATGTTCTCAATGAAAAAATACATTTTAAGAAACATAGAAGTAATAGGAATGGCACTGTTCCCCAACACAATTATGGAACCACTGTGGACCATAATTATGTAACTTTAATATAGTCCTGGTGTGGTGGTATAGGATAAACACTGGACTGGTAACTGCAAGGTAGGCAGTTCAAACCCACCAGTCACTCTTGGAATTCCCATACAGTGTTGCTATGAGTCAGACTGACTCAGTGGTATTCAACAACAACAACAATATAGAATTTTGCACAACAACATCAACATAGAACCTTGACCTTGATATTCTATGGCCTTATAAATAAGCATGCAATTTCTCAGTGCTCTGGGGTTGTTTTTTCTGATTTCTTGTCTAGGGCAATGATGGTAATGTGTTATTTAGTGAAACTGAAAAAGAGGCATTTGCCAGCACTACAAGAACTCATTTAACTATGCCACATATAGGCTATCCTATCATAATATGGATCCTTAAGAGAGATGAGTTAAGATGCTTTCAAAAAGACAAAGAAGAAAACACCTGTGGCTAGGATTAGACTCAAGAGGTATAAGGGAAGGATGTCTGCTCTCCTTCCTGTATGTGGCCTATTCCTGGGTCATAAGTACTGAACAGCACAGGTTTCATGTTCACTGGCAAGGTAAAGACCACAGAATTCTAAGAGGAAAAAAAGAAGGAAAAAATGGTGCCAAATCGTCACAAATATAAAGGAGAGTAACTTTAATAAGCAGAGTCTGGTACTTAGAAATAACCACAACTTCAATCAGAAGACTTCAAATTTAGTCAAAGTTGATTTACTATGTACCCTTAGGTAAATCAGTTAAGCTCTTTGAATGTCAGTTATTTTTACCTATAAAGGGAATAAGAATGCATATCTAAGTCAACTCTCAAGGCTTAGAAATGATTAAGTGCTTAAACATAGCATTACTAGCAGCGTAAAGAAGATTACTTCTTTTCTTCAAGATTATTGGAGTTGATTTATTGCTTAGTGTTTGTGGTCAGACTGAAAAAGATGGCCACCATATTTGGAAGTCTCCTTCCTCTAGAAGTCAAATCCAGTTCACCTTCTCTGTGAATCTAGGCTTGGCCATGTGCCTTGACACCAACAAACATGATGTACACAGAGACTTGAAAAGTAGTTGTGCATTGTAACTTGCTTTCTCAATTGCTTGCAGGGAACCCTCCCTGCTCCATGAGAAGCCAGGGCTGGACTCCCAAAATATGAACAATCTTGTGGAGAGACTGAAATTTTACAATACAAGTAGATGGATAATTCCAGGAGATGTTTGAAGCCATTGATTACCTTTGGTGACGATACCAAGATCATGACCTTGGTTCTAAAATATAGCCAAAGCCAC